CTTGTGCTGGGGACAATAAAATGTCACTCTAAAATGTGCAGTTTTGTCACAACACGATGTCTCAAGTTTTGAGGGAGCAATTGGCATGCTGACTGCAGGAGTGTCCACCAGAGCTGTTGCCAGAGAATTGAATGTTCATTTCTCTACCATAAGCCGCCTCCAACGTCGTTTTAGAGAATTTGGAATTTGGCAGTACGTCCAACTGGCCTCACTACCGCAGACCACATGTATGGCGTTGTGTGAGCGAGCGGTTTGCTGATGTCAACGTTGTAAACAGAGTGCCCCATGGTGGGTTATGGTATGGGCAGGCATAAACTACGGACGACAAACACAATTGCATTTTACCCAATTTGAATGCACAGAGATACCTTGATGAGATCCTGAGGCCCATTGTCGTGCCATTCATCCGCCGCCATCAACTCGTGTTTCAGCATGATATTGCACAGCCCCATGTCGCAAGGATCTGTACACAATTCCTGGAAGCTGAAAATGTCCCAGTTCATCCATGGCCTGCATACTCACCTGACATGTCACCCATTGAGCATGTTTGGGATGCTCTGGATCGACAGAGTGTTCCAGTTCCCACCAATATCCGCACAGCCATTGAAGAGGAGTGGGACAACATTCCACAATCAACAGCCTGATCAACACTATGCGAAGGAGGTGTGTCGCGCTGCATGAGTCAAATGGTGGTCACACCTGATACTGACTGTTTTTTTTTATCCATGCCCTTTTTTTAAAGTTATCTGTGTTCAACAAATAATAATAATAATAATACAAATCAACAGATGCATCTGTATTCCCAATCATGTGAAATCCATAGATTTGGCCCAAATGTATTTATTTTAATTGAGTGATTCCCTTATATGAACTGTAACATCTTTGAAATTGTTGCATGTTGCGTTTATATTTTAATTCAGTATAAAACGTATCTGTGTCAGTTTAGTGCTGAAATAGCTTTGCTTGAACCTACACATTTTTCGATAGAATTGGTTGTCCTTGCCCCTATCCAAATTCAGATGTGTCACTTTGGCCCTGGAGAGACCATCAAGACATGAAACTCTCTTTTTCTAAAAGTATCATTTACATTTCAGTTTATATTAGTGTCAGGGTCCCTTACCTCTCCTTTTTGCTGCTGTCCAGCCAATGCAGTCTTCAGCCTTGATCTTATCCAGGTAGAGGGTGAAGTCACTGGTGAATGTTCCACCTGAATGGCTTTTGAAGTTGTTGATGACTTTCTGTCCTTTTTACAGCATATGTGAAAGCCACCTGGGAAAGACAAGGAGTGATATTAACCCCACAATGATCAAGAGTCACAGAGAAATGTAGAACCTCATAAAATGAAAACAGGAGTCATATATATTTTTTTGAAATGTATCTTTTAATTTACATTTTTTCTATAAAACATTTTGTCCACTTTAGGCGACAGTTAGCATAAGAGTAATTATCACAGCTTTGAGATGAAGTCCAACCAAACCTCAGTCAATCTTTTCGGTCATACATACTGTACCTCTGCTCTCACACACAGACACATACAAACATAATAATCATATAATTATAGTGGGTTGGAGTTCCTTTAGTGCAGTGGTCCCATACCTAAATCCATTCATAGGAAGCCAAAGATGAAGACTCAACAATAGGCAGCTATTCAGTTTCACCAATTCCTTAAAGGCTGGAACTGTGTCAAGGTAAGCAATGGTGGAAAATACATCTATTTGATTGAGAAGATCACTACAAGTCTCTTCAGAATTAATCAGAGCTGGAGTCTCCAATTAAATCTTCTAGAAATTGGTGGATGATGAGAGCAACGAATCAAGTTTGAAACCACTGTTTTGGTGCAACTCTTAAGCATTATTTCTATATCAGACCCCTCATGCACAGCATCTCATCCTGTGTTAGTTAGGCCCATATACAGTACAGAAAAAGGGTTCCAAAAGGGCTCTTCGGCTGTCCCCATAGGAGAACCCTTTTTGGTTCCACGTAGAGCCTTTTTGGGTTCCATGTAGAATCCTCTGTGGAAAGGACCCTACATGGAACCAAAAAGGGTTATTCAAAGGGTTCTCCTATGGGGACAGCTGAAGAACCCTTTCAGGTTCTAGATAGCACCTTTTTTTCTAAGAGTGTACATGGTGCACTGGGCAAGATGGCAACAAGCTTTAAAATAGATGGTCAGTTAAAGGAGAGGATGAAGACAATATGTATGATGAGTCGGTACAGGTCAGTACAAACAGACACCATAAAAATACATTTAAAATAAAAAGAAATGTTATAGGATTGCAATTACATATACTGACAACATGTACAGTATGTCATTCCAAAATTCTCTCAGAGAGCATAACGTAATGCTTCCCTCACCACAGAAATGGTTGATTAAAATGCATTTTCTGTGGATTTCAGATCAAACTTTCAATCAGAAACGTCCATGATTCAATGTCCATCAAGACATACTTAGTACTTAAAAAGTATATTTTGTGTAACGGCAGGAACATTTTTCAAATTGTAAACCTATAAGAACAGCACCTTTTAGGAAATAATATGACTACTCATATGCATGCCCCACCCCCCAGGCCCCCAACACACACACACACACACACACACACTCAAACAACGAAGACACATACACACTCAACAAAACTACTACAATCTGGGTATTGTCATATCCTCCTTACATCATTCTGTATTTCTGTAATACTACTTCAAACACCTTAGGCTTCCCGTTTCTTTTGACTCTTTAAATTATATTTTTTAAATGACATCTTATGACATAAAATAGCTGTGTTTCATAGAGAATCCTACTCTGTAAAAAAACGATCTAGTTGTTTCAAATTACTATTACTCAGTAACTGGTTAACTGACGTTTTTAGTTTACTCAACTTTTCGGTCCAAGTGTAACCTGAACTAAAAAAATTCAGTCAATTTAAAATGATGTGTTTGCTCAGCCCTCATATGTTCATTCAACTATAAATTATTATTTGGGCATCTTAACTAAAAAAGTCTGTGCAACTGGTTACACACACAGTGCTTTTAACATACAATGTTTTCAATGTACATATTTGACATACATGATTACATTATGCATGTTCATTTATAAATACATTATTATTCAACATGTCCTCACCTGGGACTTGAACTCATAACCTCTAGGCTCATGACAATCCGATCTTCCTGCTACACCACCATATCTATGTAAATGATCAGTTCATCTAACTATTCTCTCATCATTGATTTAATTTACTTATTTCAGCAATTTTTTTATATATTTTTTTATATTTGTCTTATGTTGGTGGGGCATATTACTCTTGTTTTAATGTTACTCCATAATCACTATGATAAATACACGTTTTCTTGAGTGTACTTTTAGATTCAAACTGAGATTTACTTTGAAGTGCAAAGTGTAGCAATTGGAATGCTGTGAACCAAGAGCTTGTAAGTTTCAATCCCAGCTGAGACCATGTTGAATATTAATTACTGTATAAATAAACATGCACAATATAAATCATGTATTTCAACTTGTGTCAAATATGTAAATTGAAAACATTGTATGTTAAAAGCACTGTGTGCTTTTAACATACAATTTTATGTATGTTACATTTTTGGGGGTTCAGGTAGGTACAAAGAGTAGAGTAAACACAAAAAAAGGCTGTGGAACCAGTTACTTAATAATAATTAGTTGAAACAACTAGATTTGTATTTACAGTGTAGATTTCTGCCCCTATAGACTCATTATATGAGGTTTAAACGTGACAGACAAGGGAGGTCTATTCTGTGGACTCTGACCACCTGTACGATGATCTGACATGCTAACTAAAAACAGAGATCACAAAGACTTCTTGCGCTCAATATCAACAGCATCACAATTTTACAAAGACAAAGTGTAATATATAATTCTAACATTGTAATGGTTACTATTATAGGTGAACTGTCTTTTAATAAATAAACTGTGCTTGCGTGAGAGGTCTAAGGTATGTATATCCGGAGAGACACTATTTAGAAAGAGAAGCCGGTGCAAACCTTCTGATTTTTACAAATGTTTTTCCATTTTGCCCCAATGCAGAAAGGGGCCCATATCACCCTGTGCCTATGCTAATTGACCACAAAGTGCATATAGATCATACAAGCAGCTCTTTCAGCTCTGCCTTGCCCATTGCAAACTCTTATACAGTACACCAAAAACAAGTATATCCAGGATTGTTTGTTAGGTCTATTCTCAGTCAGAGGGGGAGGGGGGAATATATACTACCAGTGGCCCTAATTTGGCTTCAGATTACAGCTGAACAGTTGTAACAAGTGTACCAGACTAGCGTGACGTTTACAATGTTCACTAAATACTCACACAACTGTTGTTTATTGTATCGGTCTACAGTATAGAAAAGGGCACATATTCTTCTTAACCCCAACTCCTTGTTTTAATCAAGCCAATCGAATCCACTGAATGATTCTGAAATGCTCCCTTGGCAAGGACCAGAGCAAATGTTAACGATCACACAAAAACATTGTCTTTTTGTGGTGCCGGGAACTGAAAACAACACTACGTAGTTCTCAATGACTGAATTACACCTCCCACACAAACGTGTGCTTCTGAAGTCATTTATTTCGTTAAGGCCAACAAGGCTGCCAAATGGCACCATATTCCCTACATAGTCCGCTACTTTTGAAAAAGTAGTGCACTACACAGGGAAAAGGGTGCCATTTGGGACAGGTCCCATGATCTCCACCCCGTGAAAATAAGAGCATTTCACTGACATACAACTGAACCGACAGTACTGCTGCAGGGGAACTGCTGTGTTTGCCTTCAGGATGACTTCCCCTCCTTTACTTTACTTTAATGGAACTGCTCATTTCTTCCAAATCGATTATTGTAGTAATGATGGTTATTATTATGAATTCTAACCTGTAACATCATACTAATTTGTGATAACTACACTGTCTATCCATGTAGTGTAGGCTTTATTCAGCTCAAAATGAAGCTATTGTGCAAAACATCTGCAGAGGTGCTAGTACTAAACCTCAGGGGGCAGTGGTGGGTATATCTCTCCTTCAGTGGCCAGGCAGGCCACTTCCTGACACTGCCCTTCTGAGGTACTCTGCTGGGGGCTGAATGGTACCTCCTTAGCCTCCTCAGCCCCCAAGCCATTCTCTGAGCACAGAGCCACCGGGGGCAAAAACTCGCCCTCAACCTGCCCGCAGGTAATACCTCTATGCTCATCCCTCTCTCGCTGCTCTCCTCCCTCTGGTTCTTTATCCACACACTCCTGCTCCTCCTCCTCCCCAGGCTGAGACTCCTCAAACGGCTCGTTCTCCATGGGACCTAACTGGTAGTAGAGCAGGGACGAGGCCGGATCTTTGAGGCCACCATGGGGGTTGTCCCCTTCCCCCTCCCCATCTCCCTCCTGGTTCTCTGTGATGCAGAGCAGGGTAGCCCCAGTGGGGAACGGGCCCTGGAGGAGGGAGATAGGGACCCCCTCTATCCCGACCCCCACCCCTGTCTCCCCAGACAGCTCCCCCTGCAGGGCCCCAGGTAGGAGGCACAGAGACTGCTCCCCCATGCTTCCTACTCCCCCCCTGCCCCGCTGCACCTCCTCCTCTTCCTCTTCCTCCCTCATCCTCTCCTGCTCCTCTGCACTTTGCAGGTGGAGCACGGCGATTTCGTTCTCCCGCTCCAGGCAGGCCTGCTCAGTCAGGAGGTCCCGAGCCTCTAGGACCATCTGGACCTCTCTCTCCTCTGCCTCTAACTCAGAGTCCAGGCCATGGGCCCCTGTGGACAGGTGAAGGTCTGGGGAGGGAGGCCTGGTGGAGGAGGGGTCAGACTCTTCATACTGCTCCCCAAGCCCTGCCCTCTGCCCCAGCAGCCTCCCCTTCTCCAGGTCCAGCTTCATGATGGTGTGCAGGTAGTGTGTTCGTACGCGCAGCGGATTGAACTCGATGCGGCCCGCCGAGTTCCTACAGCCATCCCGAGAGCAGCCACAGGGGAAAGACATCCTGTCCACCTGGAAAGAGAACATATGTGGAAATAAAGAGAGAGAATACACGCAGTTATAAAATATTCAGTAAAAGGCAGTACTAGGGTTGAATAGCGGGAACCGGAATACCAAGATTTCCCGCCCATAACTGTGAGAAACCAGTAAATTATAATAAATGATTTCTATGAACAGCATGATGTGAAATGGAACTGTTAAATGTCTAAATATGGCTTCTCTACAGCCTTCTCTCTGCATGATCAATCATCAACGCTCTAGGTGGAGACAGACAGCGCATCTCAGTATGGAGCGCAGTTCACAATGCATGTATCATCTCATCATGGTAAAAAAAATGATTGTGACAGGTAGCGTAGGCCTACATTTGCTGCAGCATAGCCTATGCTACAGTAATATAAGGACTGAATGCGTGTCTAATTTACACATCTCCATCTGGCTTTCGGGGCATCTTATTTTTTAATTGTAAAGATGATTTTTTTTTATTGCAGCTGCAGAGTTTTAAAACAGCCTATCACTCAAATATCATTGCGAGCACGGTCTCGCAGTCGCTCGCAGTCTTTCTCTCTCTCTATCAAGTCCATTCAAATTGCATTCAAAATAGATCAACCTGTTCAAGATTTATATGTATAATATACACAGTTGAAGTCGGAAGTTTACATACACCTTAGCCAAATACATTTAAACTCAGTTTTTCACAATTCCTGACATTAAATCCTAGTAAAACTTCCCTGTTTTAGGTCAGTTAGGATCACCACTTTATTTTAAGAATATGAAATGTCAGAATAATAATAGAGAGAATGATTTATTTCAGCTTTTATTTATTTCATCACATTCCCAGTGGGTCAGAAGTTTACATACTCTCAATTAGTATTTGGTAGCATTTCCTTTAAATTGTTTAACTTGGGTCAAACGTTTCGGGTAGCCTTCCACAAGCTTCCCACAATAAGTTGGGTGAATTTTGGCCCATTCCTCATGACAGAGCTGGTGCATCTGAGTCAGGTTTGTAGGCCTCCTTGCGGGCACACTCTTTTTCAGTTCTGCCCACAAATGTTCTATAGGATTGAGGTCAGGGCTTTGTGATGGCCACTCCAATACCTTCACTTTGTTGTCCTTAAGCCATTTTGCCACAACTTTGGAAGTATGCTTGGGGTCATTGTCCATTTGGAAGACCCAATTGCGACCAAGCTTTAACTTCCTGACTGATGTCTTTAGATGTTGCTTCAATATATCCACATACATTTCCTTCCTCTATTTTGTGAAGTGCACCAGTCAATCCTGCAGCAAAGCACCCCCACAGCATGATGCTGCCACCCCCGTGCTTCACGGTTGGGATGGTGTTCTTCGGCTTGCAAGCAACCCCCTTTTGCCTCCAAACATAACGATGGTCATTACGGCCAAACAGTTCTATTTTTGTTTCATCAGACCAGAGGACATTTCTCCAAAAAGTACGATCTTTGTCGCCATGTGCAGTTGGAAACCGTAGTCTGGCTTTTTAATGGTGGTTTTGGAGCAGTGGCTTCTTCCTTGCTGAGCAGCCTTTCAGGTTATGTCGATATAGGACTTGTTTTACTGTGGATATAGAAACGTTTGTACCCGTTTGCTCCAGCATCTTTACAAGGTCCTTTGCTGTCGTTCTGGGATTGATTTGCACTTTTCGCACCAAAGTACCTTAATCTCTAGGAGACAGAACGCGTCTCCTTCCTGAGCGGTATGACGGCTGCGTGGTCCTATGGTGTTTATACTTGCGTACTATTGTTTGTACAGATGAACGTGGTACCTTCAGGCGTTTGGAAATTGCTACCAAGGATGAACCAGACTTGTGGAGGTCTACACATTTGTTTCTGAGGTCTTGGCTGATTTCTTTTGATTTTCCCATTATGTCAAGCAAAGAGGCACTGAGTTTGAAGGTAGGCCTTGAAATACATCCACAGGTACACCTCCAATTGACTCAAATGATGTCAATTAGCCTATCAGAAGCTTCTAAAGCCATGACATCATTTTCTGGAATTTTCCAAGCTGTTTAAAGGCACAGTCAACTTAGCGTATGTAAACTTCTGACCCACTGGAATTGTGATACAGTGAATTATAAGTGAAATAATCTGTCTGTAAACAATTGTTGGAAAGATTACTTGTGTCATTCACAAAGTAGATGTCCTAACCGACTTGCCAAAACTATAGTTTGTTAAGAAGATATTTGTGGAGTGGTTGAAAAACTAGTTTCATTGACTCCAACCTAAGTGTATGTAAACTTCCGACTTCAACTGTATACACTACCAGTCAAAAGTTTGGACACACCTACTCATTCAAGGGTTTTTCTTTATTTTTACATTGTAGAATAATAGTGAAGACATCAAAACTATGAAATAACACACATGGAATCATGTAGTAACCAAAAAATACATACAGTGGGGAGAACAAGTATTTGATACACTGCCGATTTTGCAGGTTTTCCTACTTACAAAGCATGTAGAGGTCTGTCATTGTTATCATAGTTACACTTCAACTGTGAGAGACGGAATCTAAAACAAAAATCCAGAAAATCACATTGTATGATTTTTAAGTAATTAATTTGCGTTTTATTGCATGACATAAGTATTTGATCACCTACCAACCAGTAAGAATTCCAGCTCTCACAGACCTGTTAGTTTTTCTTTAAGAAGCCCTCCTGTTCTCCACTCATTACCTGTATTAACTGCACCTGTTTGAACTCGTTACCTGTATAAAAGACACCTGTCCACACACTCAATCAAACAGACTCCAACCTCTCCACAATGGCCAAGACCAGAGAGCTGTGTAAGGACATCAGGGATAAAATTGTAGACCTGCACAAGGCTGGGATGGGCTACAGGACAATAGACAAGCAGCTTGGTGAGAATGCAACAATTGTTGGCGCAATTATTAGAAAATGGAAGAAGTTCAAGATGACGGTCAATCGACTCGGTCTGGGGCTCCATGCAAGATCTCACCTTGTGGGGCATCAATGATCATGAGGAAGGTGAGGGATCAGCCTAGAACTACACGGCAGGACCTGGTCAATGACCTGAAGAGAGCTGGGACCACAGTCCCAAAGAAAACCATTAGTAACACACTACGCCGTCATGGATTAAAATCCTGCAGCGCAAGCAAGGTCCCCCTGCTCAAGCCAGCGCATGTCCAGGCCCGTCTGAAGTTTGCCAATGACCATCTGGATGATCCAGAGGAGGAATGGGAGAAGGTCATGTGGTCTGATGAGACAAAAATAGAGCTTTTTGGTCTAAACTCCACTCGCCGTGTTTGGAGGAAGAAGAAGGATGAGTACAACCCCAAGAACACCATCCCAACCGTGAAGCATGGAAGGGGAAACATCATTCTTTGGGGATGCTTTTCTGCAAAGGGGACAGGACGACTGCACCGTATTGAGGGGAGGATGGATGGGGCCATGTATCGCGAGATCTTGGCCAACAACCTCCTTCCCTCAATAAGAGCATTGAAGATGGGTCATGGCTGGGTCTTCCAGCATGACAACGACCCGAAACACACAGCCAGGGCAACTAAGGAGTGGCTCCGTAAGAAGCATCTCAAGGTCCTGGAGTGGCCTAGCCAGTCTCCAGACCTGAACCCAATAGAAAATCTTTGGAGGGAGCTGAAAGTCCGTATTGCCCAGCGACAGCCCCGAAACCTGAAGGATCTGGAGAAGGTCTGTATGGAGGAGTGGGCCAAAATCCCTGCTGCAGTGTGTGCAAACTTGGTCAAGACCTACAGGAAACGTATGATCTCTGTAATTGCAAACAAAGGTTTCTGTACCAAATATTAAGTTCTGCTTTTCTGATGTATCAAATACTTATGTCATGCAATAACATGCAAATTAATTACTTAAAAATCATACAATGTGATTTTCTGGATTTTTGTTTTAGATTCCGTCTCTCACAGTTGAAGTGTAACTATGATAACAATGACAGACCTCTACATGCTTTGTAAGTAGGAAAGCCGGCAAAATCGGCAGTGTATCAAATACTTGTTCTCCCCACTGTATTTTATATTTGAGATTCTTCAAATAGCCACCCTTTGCCTTGATGACAGCTTTGCACACTCTTGGCATTCTCTCAACCAGCTTCATGAGGTAGTCACCTGGACTACATTTAAATTAACAGGTGTGCCTTCTTAAAAGTTAATTTATGGAATTTATTTCCTTCTTAACGTGTTTGAGCCAATCAGTTGTGTTGTGACAAGGTATTCAGAAGATAGCCCTATTTGGTAAAAGACCAAGTCCATATTATGGCAAGAACAGCTCAAATAAGCAAAGAGAAACGACAGTCCATCATTACAAGACATGAAGGTCAGTCAGTACGGAAAATTTCAAGAACTTTGAACGTTTCTTAAAGTGCAGTCGCAAAAACCATCAAGCGCTATGATGAAACTGGCTCTCATGAGGACCGCCACAGGAATGGAAGACCCAGAGTTACCTCTGCTGCAGAGGATAAGTTCATTAGAGTGACCAGCCTCAGAAATTGCAGCCCCAATACATGCTTCATAGAGTTCAAGTCCCAGACACATCACAACATCAACTGTTCAGAGGGGACTGTGTGAATCAGGCCTTCATGATCGAATTGCTGCAAAGAAACCACTACAAAGGACACCAATAAGAAGAAGAGACCTGCTTGGGCCAAGAAACACGCGCAATGGACATTAGACCGGTGGAAATCTGTCCTTTGGTCTGGAGTGCTGCATCAGATGACCTGGCCTCCACAATCCCCCGACCTCAACCCAATTGAGATGGTTTGGGATGAGTCGGACGGCAGAGTGAAGGAAAAGCAGCCAATAAGTGCTCAGCATATGTGGGAACTCCTTCAAGACTGTTGGAAAAGCATTCCAGGTGAAGCTGGTTGAGAGAATGCCAAGAGTGTGCAAAGCTGTCATCAAGGCAAAAGGTGGCTATTTGAAGAATCTCAAATATAAAATATATTTTAATTTGTTTAACACTCTTTTGGTTACTACATGAGTCCATATTTGTTATTTCATAGGTTTGATGTCTTCACTCTTATTCTACA